TTAAAAGAAAACCATTATCTTTTTCTCTCTTGTTGAGTTAGAGAGTTAGATCAAGAAACAAAGGAAAAAAAAAAAGCATATGGCTGCTTGTACTTGGAAGGTACCTATAACTTTACCAAACTACTACCAAAGAGAAAATCAAACTTTGTTTTCACATGACCCCATTTTCTGCAACTTTGGTTCAAGAGTGAGAAGTGAAAGTCTCAATAACTGTTGTCTTGTTGTAAGAAAAACCAAGTTTCTGCAATTTAGTAGTAGTGAAGATGATTATGGTGAGACAGAGGAAGACGAGTATTTTGTTAAGGTTCTTCGTGAATCGAAACCTTATTTGTCTGTACACAGAGATAGAGTTTTTGTTGTTCTTATTTCTGCTCAAATTGTTGCTGAAGCTGATTACTTCAACGCCATTCTCAAGGTACCACCACTCTCTCTCTCTCTCTCTCTAAACACAACACAGCCACTTCCTTTGTTTTCACTTTTCTCTGTGACTGCCCTTTTACTTTACTATCACTTCCTTTGGGTTTTTTTTGTGAAACTCATCGAGACACATAATGAAGCAAAAATATTTGAATGTACAAGATTTAAAATATAATAACTTAAAAGCAAAAGCATAATTAAAATAATATTAAAAAAAGAAAAAGAAATAAAACCAGAAACTATTACTACTATTTAGTGGATTTATTACTATTATTATATACAATGCAACGTTTCATTGCAATGCAACGGTTTTCCAGCTTTGGCCAACTCCAATGGTCTTTTTCTTTTAGCGACAGTGCGGCAGCTGAAGAACAAATAGAAAAAAAACTCTCATTGGAGATGCTCTTAGCTTTACCATTATTTCAAAGATCTCAATTGTTTTTGTCTCAACGTTTTTAGCTTTATGTATTCCATTTTTAAAAAAAATTATTATGAATTTAACTAAATGTATATAAATTTATTCATAAATTATATACATCATGTTTTCACATTTTTTTTATATATATTTGATTTTAGAGGGAGTACTATTTAAACAAATATTTACTTTCTTTTTTAAAATTTTATTATTAAGTGAAAGTAGGGGAAAGACCTTTGGCGGATTCTTTGCATATATTGAGAAAAATATTTTGTTTTGATTGAGGTTGAATTTAAATTTTCTTTTATTGATAATGAAAACAATCCTATTTACCCCAAATCTATTTTGTTAAATATTTGATTTTGAGAATTTATAATAATTATTGTTTGATTAATGTATTGACATTTTAAGTTCTATTTTATTATTTGAAATGTTTAAATAGTATGATTAATTTTTGAAATTGTTCTAGTGTTTATTAGAGTTTAAAATAATTTAGGTGTTTGAAAAATTAGATTATGTCAATTAAAAAAATTGATTATAATATTGTAATGTAGGTTAATGTTTATTAGAGTTTAAAATAATTTAAATGTTTGAAAAGTTAGATTATGTCAATTAAAAGAATTTATTATAACATAGAAACGTGGGTAGATCATTGATAAATCAACTTTCTATTATTTGATACCATAAGAAAGAAAGTTTTTAGAATGGCCAAATTATAAATATGAATATGGTACTAATTTTATATGGATAAAAACAATTTTAATCCTATTAAATATTAATATTAACCACTTATAATGTATTGTTGCTACTGTTTTTAAAAATTAATAAATATATTGAATTATTTACAATATTTTTCTTTAATAAAAAATTATTAATTGTCTCGCTTCTCGTGTTAGAGTTACTGGCATTATTTTTTAGAGACAAAGATTAAGATAATATATCGATCAAATGAGAGGAAAACTAGAAGAAAATAAAAATCAAATCTTTAAATGAGCCAACAATTTAAGTTTGGGTAGATCAAACTTGTTGTACAAAAATGCATTCTTAAGCTTAACAACTATATGATCATACTAACTTGTATTTTTATTGTTCAAACCAATGCGCACATGTTTCCTTCTCTATAGACTAGACGTGAGTAATCATGAGATCACAATTTTATAAGTAACGTTGTACAAAGAGATTGATCTAAACTGGCTAACCAATTCAGACTGAGGACACTTGAAGAAGAGGTAAATGTCTCTCTTAAACTTCAAAAACTTCAATTTTTTTTAACTTAAAAAAAATTCACATGAAATTTAATTATAATAAATTAAATAAAATCAATGAATATTATTGCTTGTTATTTTTGTCAATATGCAAATATAACTTTTTAGCTTTCTCTTTTCATTTATACCAAACCATTAAAAAAATATTTCAATTTCTTTTTCTTTTTTTTATACTTTTTTTCTCTCATATATTTTTTTATCTAAACATATCTTTTAGGACAAAGAGATGAGAGTAAAAAGCGTTTTCACTCCTACTCGTTAATATGCATTTAAGCTATAAATAATATAGTAACATTTTATTTTAAATTTAAAAAATAATATTTAAAATAAATATATTAATATTATAAGGTAATTTTAAGGACATTTTCTTGATACAAAGTATAATAATATTTAGTGTTTAATTATTATGCTATTTTTTTACATCATTAAATTTATTATTTAAAAAAATTTAAATTAAAACTAAACATTCCTAACAAATATGTGGCTCAGAGCATGGTCCTTCATCCCATTAAGTGTATTTTAATTATATTATGGTATTCATTATGTATATTAAAAATTAAATTAAAAAATAATTACGTCAATTTTATTTGAAATTTTTTGTATTAAATCAGATACTATTAATTTTTAAAAAAAATGGAGGTTTAGGGGTGAGGAGATTGAAGGAATTTAACTTAGATTTACTTGATAAATGGTGTTTGAGGATTCTAAATAAAACAAAAAGTTTTTGGTATAAGGTATTATGTGCTAGGTATCGTGAAAAACAGTGTTGATTGTGTTTTGGGGGAAGTGGTGAATCTGTTTGATGGAGAAATTTGAAAAACATAAGAGAGGGTGTCAGTTTAGTTGATAGAGGGTGGTTGCTTAGTAACATTAATGAAAGATATAAGATGTGGATTCTACTCTATTTTGGAAAGAAGTTTAGTTGATAAAGGGTGGTTGCTTAATAATATTAATGAAAGATATAAGATGTGGATTCTACTCTATTTTGGAAAGAAGTTTAGTTGATAGAGGGTGGTTGCTTAGTAATATTAATGAAAGATATAAGATGTGGATTCTACTCTATTTTGGAAAGATCCTTAACTTGATGGTATTCCTTTGAAGGTAAGATTTAGTAGGTTGTTTGTTTTAACAGAGAATAAGATGACATAAGTTGCAAAAATGAACGAGTTGGGGTGGGGGAGAACATTGAGGCATGAAAGTGGCGTAGGAGGTTGCTTGCGTGAGAAGAGGAGTTAGTGGAAGAGTGTATTGAGTGTTTAACCTCTATTGTTTGACAAGTGGACATAAAAAAATCATTGGGTATGGAACTTACACCCCTCTTCTTGCTATCCAGTAAGTAATGTTTATAAAATTTTGTTTGAAATTGACGACAATAATAATCAGCTTGACACCAAAATTCTTTGGTTGAAGACTGTGTCGCTTAAGGTACTTATTTTTGCCTAGTGGTTGTTTTTGAATTGTATTCTGACGAAGGACAATTTGGCTTAGTGACATATTCTTGCTAGAAACGATCAAAGATGTGGGGTGAATTGTGGTGTGGATGAAGACGAAGATCATTTGTTTATAAAATGTGATTTTTTGGTAGATTGTGGCCTATTATTTCTAATTAGCTAGGGCTCTCAACGATATTTCAAGAAAAGTTATCGGATCATCTCTTACAATTTGGTAGGTTATGTGTGTTTTTCAAAAATGTCCGTTTACTTCTTAACACTATTTGCCTCTCGGTGATTTATGTTATTTAAAAAGAGCGAAATATTCATCTTTTTCTGATAAAGCGGAACACTTACACGCGTTATCTAAATGGATAAAAATTCAGTCTTTTTGATAGTTAAAATCAAAATATGTAACTTTTGATTATGATTATTAGTTATGGAGACTAAATCATTTAACTTGGTTATGTACATCATTTTTTTTTTCCAGGATTGACTTGTATTAGTAGTTAATATATTTCTTTTTCTTAGCCTTTTCAAAAAAGTTTAAATTATTAATAAAATATACGGATTAAAAAAAAGAGTTTAATTGTTATGTATTGACAGTGTAAAATAATTTTACATAGTCATTCAATAGGAATATATTAATCTGCCATGTCATACAATTAATTTAAAATTTACAGTCTGATATGGCGGAATGCATGAAAGTGATTGGTTGACAGTGTAAAATAATTTCATACTGTTAGTGCATACCAATTAAATTCTTTAAAAAAATATGAAAAACTAACTCATAATCAATCAAAAATTTAATTGATATGCACTGTCAGTGTAAAATTATTTTACATTGTCAACCAATCACCCTCATGAATTATGCCATATTAGATAGTAAATTTAAAATTACTAGTACGACATGACAAATTAATTAATTCCTATTAGATGTTAGTGTAAGTACATATCAATTAAACTCATCAATCAATACTATATATGATATTATTAAAAGAAAATACATAATAATAAGGATTGAATTGAAATGCATTGACAGGATAAAAATATTTTATACAATCAATTAATTATAGACACTGTTAATTAATTATAAACATTAGATATAAAAGAAAGTTTGATGTTTATTTTAATAACTCGTAAAATAAAACAATAGGATGATAGTGATAAATTAAGGGTGCAAAATTTTTTACACTGTGCATAGTAATTAATTCTCGATAATAATTGTTTTTGTGTAACTTTCAAAAATTCTTAAACTTAGGTTTGAATTTTAATACCTACCTCTCCCCTTTTACCGTAAAAACAATAATAATTTTAAAAATTAAAAAAACGTGGTAGGAACAATTAAATGTTAGCTATGTGGCCGTGATGGAAGAAGCAACAAAGTTTCAAAGCAGCGCGGCGGTGGCTAAACTTTTCGTCTCTGGAAACACATCCGCCGTTGCCGACGAACACTGACCACCGTATCTCTCAATGTCTCCTTCCTTATCGCGTCTCTTCACTCCCCTTCCCAGCTTCTCCGCTTCATCATCTTCTTCTTCTTCTTCTTCTTCATCTACTTCTCATCAATATTCACACTTCCACCCACAACTCAAACTCCAATTCAAACCTATTTCACCAAAACCCTCATCTTTCACCCCGCACTTCCATACCCGAAATCATCAAAAACTGACTCAACGCAATGTGTTCAACGAAGGACTTAGCGGAAGCTTTGAAGAAGAGACTTTCAACTCCATGGAAGATAAACAATTCGTGCGTTCGTTTCGTGAAGCATGGCCTTACCTTTGGGTTTTTCGAGGAAGCACCTTTGTTATCATCATCTCCGGTGAAATTGTCGCTAGTCCTTACTTCGATCCCATTCTCAAGGCATGCATGTCACAACGCATCGATTGTTTTTATCTTCTTTCTTGTTGCTTCAATTCGTGATTATCGTTTTTTAGGTTTAAATATGAGTTTGGTAGTTGTTATAAATATAGTAACACTTATTGCTTTTATTATCTGTAATTAATGTTTCAATTCTTGCAAATTTTAAAACTTTTTTACTTTCTGTTGGAATTAATAGCTGTGATGTTTCTGGGTGTAGGATATAGCTTTTCTTCATCATCTTGGAATTCGGTTTGTTCTTGTTCCTGGTACTCATGTGCAAATTGACAAGCTTTTGGCAGAGAGAGGTTAGTCAGATTAACGACATGTTCGATTTGAGTTATTTGCGCGTATCTACTGACATAAACATTTCTGATATGGTTTGAGAAAGCTTATGGAATTGGAAACAACTTAATGACATGATCGGAAGCTGTTGTCATAAGCTCTTCATAATAGCTTATAAAAATCACTTATATAAAATACCGCCTTTATTTTATCTTTGTTTTAGGAATAGCTAACAAATATACACTTACATAATAAGCACTTATGCTATATATGTAATTAAGCTGTTTATTCACTAGAAGGCCAAGCGAGTTGTTTAACTATGCTGAAAAATAAGTTGTTTTAAATCTTAACACTGTCACTTGCAAAACCTCATCATTCACCCTGTTATTGTATTTGTAGGGAGCAAGCCTAAGTATTTTGGGAGATATAGAATAACCGATGATCCATCTCTTGAAGCTGCAATGGAAGCAGCAGGAGGAATAAGATTGATGATGGAAGCTAAACTTTCACCGGGACCTTCCATATGTAATATTCGTAGACATGGTGATAATAGTCGGTGGCATGATGTTGGTGTCAGTGTTGCAAGTGGTAACTTTCTTGCAGCCAAGGTTTGAATTTTGTGATTCATTCATTGTGCTTAAACTCTTCTAAATTGTTTCTTTTTATCGTCACTGTGTTAGAGCATATTGTTATTTTGGTTTTTGACAGAGAAGAGGGGTTGTCGATGGAATTGATTATGGGTCAACTGGGGAAGTTAAAAAAGTAGATGCAATCCGCATGCGTGAGAGACTTGATGGTGGTTGTATAGTTATATTAACCAACTTGGGCTACTCCAGCTCTGGAGAAGTTTTGAATTGCAAGTATGGTTTTGTTAGCTTCTAATCATTACATTCCAGTTTCTACATCATAGTATAACTTATTGCATGAACGATGCTATCATAGCACTTTTGTAGTTTGCGATTAATCATATCTTATGAACTTATGAATAGATTTGAAAAGACAGTCTGATGAGATTATGATACAAGTAAAAGCACCAAAGAACTATACTTATGCTTGAATCCTTGATATTGATATCTGTATTTGTGTTTTCTCCAGCACCTATGAAGTAGCAACAGCTTGTGCCTTGGCTATAGGAGCAGACAAGTTAATATGTGTCATAGATGGCCCAATACTTGATGAGAATGAACGCCTTATTCGTTTCTTGCCTCTTGAAGAAGCAGACATGTTAATTCGTAAACGAGCTAAGCAAAGTGAAACAGCTGCTACCTATGTCAAAACTGTAGACGAAGAAGGTTTTAATCATGTTGAGCATAACAATTTTAATGGGACAGTCAAATCTCCACCTAATGGAAAGCACATTACAGAATGGCGTAAAGCATCTTTCCATAATGGTGTTGGTTTTGAGAATGGAGATGGCTTAGGGAATAGCGAGCAAGGCTTTGCTATTGGAGGTCAAGAAAGGCTAAGTCGAATGAACGGTTACTTGTCAGAATTGGCTGCTGCAGCTTTTGTTTGCAGAGTGAGTCCATGATGGCATGATTTATCTTTTAATTTTCTTATCAAGTGCTCTAGTTGTGCTTATTTAAGTCTACGTTGGTAAATATGCATTTATAAGAACCAAAGTATTTTCAAAATCATGATCAGTCAGACCAATAATATGTGTGTGCGCGCGTGTTGTACATCTATATCAGTTACTGCAACATATCTTCACTATCTTGAGCTTTAACTCATTTCAAATACTTCCACTGTACAGTGGGTGGTTCGGATTAGCTTTTAATTTCAATTGATTCATGTTTCTCTATCTTGCTAATAATACCATCTGCCATTTATCAGGGTGGGGTTCAAAGAGTTCACTTGTTGGATGGCACTATTAGTGGAGTTTTACTGTTGGAATTGTTTAAAAGAGATGGAATGGGAACTATGGTGGCAAGGTAAGCAATCTTTGCAGTGTCTCTGGACTAAGTTTTTATGCTTGTAAGTTATTTTGTACAAGGGTTAGTAACTAATTGGCAAGATAAATAGGTGGTAAGCTGATAACTACACGGTGTTTATTTCTCTATGGATGGAAATATGCGAGTTGGATCTGAACTCTATTTCTGAGCATTCCCCCGTTTTCTATAAGAAACTATTAGTTACAAAAAGATTGAAGAGTTAGTTGAGACTTGAGATAATGGTTCATATTAGTCTTAAAATAAAGAGTACATGCATGCTACAAGTGCAGCTTGTGTTGTAACTCATAATAGACATGCTACGACTACAAAACTCAATTTATACCAAAACCTACAATGTTCATTTCCTACATACCTAGAAGTTAGAAAAAAAATATTGTCTACATCAGATTGTTCATGGCGCTGTCTTTGATCAACCTTATCTTTCTTCATTCTTTCCTAAGGAAATATCATCACCGATCCTTGATTTCATTTCTTATCCTTCAATTAAATTTTGCAGTGACCTTTATGAAGGCACTCGAATGGCACAGGAAAAAGATCTTTCTGGAATAAAACAAATTATGCAGCCTTTGGCGGCATCTGGCATACTGGTTAAGCGGACTGACGAAGAGGTTTGCTTAATTATGTATCTACTCTGCGTCTGTTGTAGATAACATTGCTTACATAGCGTGTTAATTCGTCTAAACATTTCTCATTTTTTATCATTCTCTATTTATAGCTGTTACAAGCATTGGATAATTTTGTTGTTGTGGAAAGAGAAGGTCAAATAATTGCCTGTGGTGGTCTTTTCCCTTACTTTGAGGAGAAATGTGCAGAGGTTGCTGCAATTGCAGTATCTCCTGATTGTCGAGGCCAAGGACAAGGAGACAAATTGCTTGGTATGTTATTGCTTTTGTGCTTGAAAATTCTTATGGATGATGGATGGTTACTACAGATCAATAATTTGTGCTATGTAATGTGACGTTGTTGGTATTTTTTGTTGTTTATGCATACTAAAACAATGTTACGAAAGAGTTTTTTTTTAATTTTATAAAGAGCTACAAAAGAGTTTTGACATTGTAGAAAAATGAAGACCAAATTGTATTAACCTGAATTAGGATTAAGAAAGGATCTATGATTAATTCATAAGTACCCTTTGACATAAAAGTACCAGAATAATTGTCCTTTTAATAGTAGCAACTATGCATAATGAACTTGTAATGAAAACATTTTTTGTGTTAGAAAGTTTCAACATGTTTATGTTTGAAGAAGATATTGTACCAGCTTGAGCTTTGGATATTATTGAAAAGATATATAATTTTAATCATGAAACGCCCTTGCATCTGATCCTGCCTGTCGCATGTTTTTAATACAATGATGAAATATTTGCAGATTATATGGAAAAGAAAGCAGCATTTCTTGGATTGAATAAGCTTTTCCTACTTACAACTCGCACGGCAGATTGGTAAGTAACTTCTCTTATTCCATGTCATTTAAACCATACACGCAATCAGTATCAGTTTTCACTTTTAGTGGCTTGTTACTGCATATTTGGCTGGTCTTTGTGTTTTTATTCATAATTGCATTCCTAAACAAAAGGATTTCCAACTTTTTGACAGGTTCGTGAGGCGGGGATTTTCAGAATGTTCAATTGATTGTATTCCTGAAAAGAAGAAGAAAACAATAAACCTGTCCCGCAATTCCAAGTATTATATGAAGGAGCTTCTACCAAATAAGAGTGGGATTACAATTGGTGGAAACAAATTTGCTTCAAATTAGTATGATCTTCCAGTTACAAGGATGAAAGAAAGTGATTGGATGCAAGATATTGGGCTCTTATGTAAACTATAGATTAATAATCAGGTAACAAATGGTAGCTGGAATCTGTATTTTTTTACCAGGTCCTCCACAAGTAGCATTAGCATTAGCATTTATATTGTAAATCTATCTATTGTTAATTTCCTTCTGTTGCCTATCTTTCAAATAATTAAGTATATCAACCTGACAGTGAATTTTTTAGTCTTATTCCAAATTTATTAGTTACTACTACGTTATTTATCTTATATTGAGTTTCTTTTCAATCTTATATTGAGTGTAACTCTAGGTTCTTTAGACATTAAGAAAACTTGTAAGTCAATAAAAGTGACAATTTTATGAAATTGTTCGTTATTAAGCATAATGTAGAATAATGAACTTGTAAGTGATGATAATAGATTTAAAATAAAATAAATATATACATTAAAAGTAAGAAATTAATATCTATCTATGGACCTTTTAAATAAAGGGTTAAAATATGATAGTGATCCCTATAAATAATTCAAAATTTAGTTTTAGTCCTCCTAACATTTTCGTTTAAAGAATCATCTTCCTAAAGATTTTCATGTCTAGATTTCGTTTCTGCTGTTTATTTCATTTCGTTTCTGCTGTTTATTTCACTTAACGGCATCTTACATGGACGTTAATTTGACTTTCTTTTTTAATTATTTGGACCTATTTGGATTTTCATGTATGCTAGAAAACGACACATCAGATAACATGTCGACATAGATTGTGAATCCTTAATCTAATTTCATCAAATCACATTCGTACACCCCTCTTTTCTCTTTAGTCTTATTTCACCTTCAGATTCTGATCTTTTTCTTCTTGCTTTCCATTTCTTCAGTCTCGATTTCTCTTCGCCCTTTTCTTCAACTTCCATTTGTCTTTGCCCTCTTTCAACTCCTTTGATGTCGTATTCAAGGACAAATTCTAAGAAATCTGTTAGCATGTCTTTGTCAGCTGTGCGAAGCTACCGTCGAGGAAGGAATTGCGGCTGTGATACTCGTATGATTTCATACGTTTGCAAGAATGGTTGCAATAAAGTCAGGTTTTCTAGAGGTATCCTTTTTGGCAGGGTGAAGAAACTTGTGATCTTTTTGTATGGGATGATGGTTTTGTCGAAGAAGATGATAATGATTTTGATCAAGTAGAAAATAACAAGATGAAGGAATTGGATACGGTTGATTTGTTGAGAGAATTGTATGAAAGTTTGAAGAAGAAGAAGAAGAACACGAAGATGCAAGCAAAATTGAGAGCAGAGGAATGAGTTGGAAAAATCAAACTGATATGCTGTATTTTCTGGTATGATTAATGTGTATCAATTTATGAAATGTAATTGTTGAATTTAGGATGATCAATGTAATGGAATTTTGAATTGATATGCTAAGTAGTTTATGTCATGATATGCTTTGTAATGGAATATTGGATGATTAATGTAATGAAATTGTGTTTCAATTATAATTTGTCTTCTCATTGACTCATAGCATCTAAATTTCGATTTTATAACATCTTAAATTTTGACATGATGTTTCCTTAAATTTAGCCTCATTTTTGGCATTATGTCCCCTAAAAATTTGGTAACACTTTTGACATCATAATTTGCAAACAAACTGACATGAAATAACTTCATTAAAAACATAGGAATTCAAAATCAACATATGGACTTAATTTGATCCAAAAGGATGACCAAAATTACAAGTCATTGTATATCGAGTACAGAGGATCATAGGTTACATCATAGACGAAAAAACATACTTAATCAAAGTCTACAAAAAAACACAGTTATGGTAACATAGCCCAAAAAAACAAGATCATTCAACTTCTTCAAACTTCATTCTCATTGAGTCAAACCTTTTTGAATTTCTTCTCAACTTTTTCTTCTCTTTTGTTTTGGCTGTTTTGATGTATCATCTTCGGTGAGCACAACTGGATCTTCAGGTTGTTTTCCAGGCCCCTTTATGTCTTTTATAGTTATAGTCTTAAGTCTTTCACTCTTTCTGGTTTGACTCACAGCTCTTGGGACTTTCTTCTTCCTTGGCATCATAGACTTGACCTAAAAAACAGCCATGAATAAACTTGAGTAACTTAACATTGACCTAAAAAACATTCATGAATAAACTCGACCTAACTTACTGGATCACTGAAGTTTGCCTTGACCTTTCCTGGATGTTTGAATGCTTTGGAGGATTTAACTTTTGGTGCACTACCAAAGAAGGTCTTCACACCACCAGACATTGAAAAACTTGTGTTTACAGTAGCCTATTTGATAGGGCTTAAGTCAACTGTAAGAGGTTGAAAGTCAAGAACAATATCCATTCCATTGTTGATATCATTGAGAATTGCTTCGAGAACATCTAGATCTATATCATTGAGGTAGTCTCTTCTATCTGTACTTGGTGGTGGTGCAATATCAAAAGCTATGGGTTATGCAGCCTGAGCATCTGTTGGTGGTGATGCAGTATCAACATGAGGACTTGGTGGTGATGCAGTATCAGAAGCTATGGGTTGTGCAACCTGAGCATTTGTTGGTGGTGGTGTAGTATCAACATGGGGACTTGGTGGTGGTAGTGCATCCTGAGCATTTGTTGGTGGTGGTGCAGTATCAACATGAGGACTTGATGGTGGTAGCGTATCAACATGAGGACTTGGTAGTGGTAGTGCAATTTGTGGATTTGTTGGTGGTTGAGCAGCATGAGAACCTTGGATTGAAGCTTGACTTGGTGCCTCATTTATCTGGTCTGCGACTTGAGGTTGATCAGTCTTAGCCTTACTTGGTGGTTGACTTTGTGCCTTACTTGGTGGCTGGCTTGGTGCCTTGCTTGGTGCCACTTTGCCTTTCTTATTCAATGACCCCTTAGGTATCCCTTGAAAAATAGTTTACAGTTACTCATAACATACAAACAAGAACAAACAATATACAATCACCCATAAACCACAAGACTAACCTTGGTTGATGTTGCCTTTTGAACATTCCCAGTTTGACTTGCCTGTGTAGGTACCTCTCATTTGTAGGTACCTCATTTGTTGGTACATCGTGGTTCTTGTGTAGAACAATCTATTTGTTCTTCTTACATTTCCTAGTGTTATGACCATGCTCCAAACATGTCTTACACCTATGAGTAGTATTAGTTCTTTGCCACTTGGTAGCATTGGATTCATCAGGTTCCCTTCTTCTAAGTTTTTTTGCCTCCCTAGGCCTCTTCTGAACATGGGTAGGTAAATTACTAGATCATTGGTTTTGAGCCACTTATTTTGGCCATTCAAAGGAGTGATATCTTCCTCATAACATTTAACATAAGTTGACTTGTGATAACACTTACGGACATAATTAATGATATTATCAACTTTCCTATGGATTGCAGCAATTGCATGTCTACATGGAATTCCAATGAGATCCCAAAAATGACATAAACATGTTTGATTAGCCAAATTAACCACAAAGCTATCAGTAAACATGACATGGGTAACTTGGAATGTCAATAGTCCAGCATAAGTGGTTGTCCAACTTGCACTATTTTCAATCTCTTTATCCAATCTCTTTAGTGGTTTTGACATGATCCTACCCTTATACTCATTAACCTTTTCCCTTAAAGTTGCAAACCTACCCATAAGATACGACCTAATCCATTCAAACACTGTTATAATTGGTTTGTCCATTTGAAGCAAGATAGTGACATTAAGGAATTCACTCAAATTATTCATCAACACATCACACTTAGAATACAAAGGAAATGCATGCTTACACCACTTAGTTTTAGGAATTGCCTCCAACCATTCATATGCATCATTGCTGACTTCCTTGATCTTCTGCGTGTATTGTTCATGAGCCTCAAGGCAGGTTGTCTTTGTTGCAGCCATCATTAGATCCCTAAATAGAGTACCACCTTCAAACCTTTTTTTAAAGTTAGCATACAGATGCCTAACACAGAATCTGTGTTCAAAAACTGGATATTGCTCCTCAAACACCTGTACAAGACCCTGAAAAAACCATACAGTATAAACAATAATTCAAGCAATGGAAGTAACAAACATCTAAAAAAGCAAACAGAATTAGAAGTGTATTTGCCTTTTGATGGTCAGATATGAAACACCATCTTTTTTCACCAATGTCTTCAAGGAGTAACTGCATAAACCAACTCTAAGTGTCCTTTGACTCAGTTTCTACCACTCCAAAGGCAATTGATAAATATTGGTCATTAGGGTCTCTTCCCACAACTATTAACAATATCCCACCATACTTGTGTTTTAGATGACAGCCATCTAATCAAATAAATGGCCTACAAGCTAATTTCAAAGCTTTCTTCATACCATCAAAGGCCATGTAACACCTTTCAAACCTTGGTAGTAAACTTGGACCAGGAGATTGAATGTTCATCTTGAAAGTATTTCCTTGTGAAACCCTCCTCAATTCAGCCCCCTATGACCATAACAAACTATATTGTTTACTAGAGTCTCTCTCCATTATCCTTTTGGCAATCTGTCTTGCCTTAAATGCCCTACAGCCAGGGTTTTAGTTGTATGTCTCACCCTAACACCTGCAATTACATCATTCAACTTCATTTTGTTATTGTTCTTCATGCTATCAACTATCACTTTTGCAACCCAGTCAGCTTTGGCACTCTTGTTAAAAAATTGTCTTTCACACTTATGTTTATCATACAAGGTCTTAATTCTAAAAGTTGTTGATGTTAGGACTTTACTGCACAGTACAGTGTAATTGCATTGTGATTTTTTCTTGCAAACCACCCTACATCTCACTGCATTATTTTTTACAAATTTGATATCTCTACCATTCAATACATTATGTTCCAAAATAGCACTCTTGAACTGCCTCAGAGATGAAAACTCCATTCCAACCTTGAATTTGTATTCCTTTGTAATCTCATCTTCCTCATTGAACCTAAAAACTCTTGGCCTATCATCACCACTATCATCTTCAGCACCACTATCAAGCTCATCAG